AATGATCGGAATTATCACTCCTTTCCCTTGGGGCGGAGTGGGCGGGCGAGATAGAACAGGCTTTCGAGCCGATACGTTACAGCGATCGATTCCTAAACTACGAGGACGCAGCATCAAGGAATCAGCTGCAGTAACGATCATGCTTTTTCCAAGCAAGCGTCAGAGTTGTAGTAAAAAACAGAAGTCAAAGCAGAATTAATCCGATCATTCGACGGTTGTTGGCAGCCTTTCAGGCCTTCATAAGGCTTCCGTCTTCCCAATGGTGTTTTTGACAGTACTTCTGCATTTTTGGCCTTCCGAACGGCTTTCCAGCCGTAGTCGCGACAATATTTCAGCCTTTCAGGCCTTCTAATGACAGAAAATGATCGGAATTATCACTCCTTTCCACGACCCCTCTTACTTCCAGCTTTTTTGCTGGAATCAAGCCTGTTCAACAGATTGTTCCAAAGAGTGTGGTACTCTCGTTGGGTCTTCGTCAAAGAGGATGGTAACCCAGTCAACAATGCTACGGAATCCTGGATGTAGACCCGAGCGGTGCGCTCGGAGGCCCAACGGCCATGCTGACAAACAGAAGCGTAGGACTGTGTTTCCAAAAAGATTTGCGTGGCCCCACCTCGCCGGAGGCTATAAGGCTTGTATGGAAGCGCGTCGAGCCCAGTTTCCTTCAAACCCCTAGCGAACCATAAGCGAAAGCAGGAAGGCGAAACATTGACGAGAAATGCGTCTGGTGGATGCACACTTTTCCATGCTCGCAACATCAAAGAGATCTCCCGGCTTCGAAAGGAGGTGCTCTCGGTTCCCGCATTACGTGTTGACATCTTTGTTTGCCCTAAATGGATGACGACAAGATCTTCATTGCATATGATCTTGCGGTTGGTCACCTGCATTAATTCTCCCGTCCGCAAGAGCCCCTTGAACCCTACAGCGACTGCCAACGCCAGCTCAGGCAGATGCTGCTGAAGCCAACCTGCCAACACGGAGAGGGTTGCGGGTGTGAAGGGGGGCGCTCGAGAGGGGATTTCAAAACGTTGCCAAGCTTTCACCAAACGCCAACCTTGCAAAAGACGTCTTTTAAGCTGAGGCTCAAAATGTTGCAAAGCCGAGAGGGTGTCTTGGGCTTGGTAACGGGACTCTCCTCCTTCCCATAGCTCCTCGATGAACATAGAGGCTAAACGGTCAACCTCCGAATATAGCGATGGAAAACGCAACCGGTTTGAGCGAAGAAACTCGAAGAAAGCTTTCATGGCCTTTTCATAGCGCTGTTTAGTTCTAGGCTGGACAACCAAATGTTGAAGCTTGCCAAGCTGTTGTCTGCGTACTTTCCTTGCGTCCCGACTATTTCCTTCCACCACTAAGCGTTTGACCATTTTCGTTTCTGGCCGCGCCGCGATGGCGCATCAGCAGGATTTTGTCCAGTATCAACATAGCCCAAGACGCAAGAATTAGCGGACAACAACAGCCA